ACTTTCCACGCATTTTGCTTTGAAGAATTTCTGTCTTCATCAGTTTGACAGCAGCAGCTCGGCGCAAGCGGTTTGTGGGCTCCTTCCCGATGCCCCTATTCCTCTGCACCATCTCCCGACGTCAGCCTGCTGTCCCCAGCCTCTCCCTTCTGTGGGGGGGTTGAGAAGTCCATTTAAATGCTCTGATCTTGTCCCAGCTTTGATCGCTCACAAGGCAGAAATCAGGAAGTGGCAGCAGAGACTTGGACACCGAACACCAACCCCTGCATATCCCTCCAACAGCTGGCATTAGCAGAGGCTGAGTCACTCGTAGATCGGGTTACAAGACTACCTGAAGAAAAGCTCTTTGTTTGCCCACCCCTTTTGTCCATACTGGTCTGAAATACTGCTGGAGGCCGAGCCAAGCCGTGCTGTCAGCTGGATATCGCACAGTTCAGTAGGAGGAAGGAATACAGAGGACTAACGCACTCCTGCTCATTTTAGGGCAACGGGAGATCCGAGAGGAGAGGTCTTACGGCATCACCCGGTACAACATGCCTGTAGGCAACTGCATGATATATTACAATGCAATCATTTGATACACGGTATATATACACCAAACTTCACCATACCTTTTTTTGTCTGTCTGTTTGCCCTAGAATCTGATTGCCATGACAGCGAATGTTACACTTTCTAGCTTAAACGTACTCATGGCCATCTCTTTAGCTTTGATGATTCTCTTTAATCTATGAGGTCTTTACTTTCGTAGGCTAAACCAACCAATCTCTTCTTGCCTCCCCTCATGTGGCAGACTCTCCATTTCCCTTCTCATTTCCTGCTCACCTTCGTCTGCACCCGTTGCAATATAATTTATATCTCCTTAAATACAAGGGAACGTCCACCGATATGTATACACTAAAGACATACGCGAGCTGGAGTGCTGCTGGTGGGGAATGATAAAGCTGGTCAATAAAACTAACAATTCCTTTGAAAGCAGCTGAGCAGACACCAGCCGTGAGGACAGGCTTGACTCAGTGTGTCAACACACAAATGATTCAGGGTGGAATGAGGCAGACGGTGACGCTAAGAGCCAACAGGATAAGATTAAGAGAAGAAAAACTTCAAGTGAACATCAAGAAAACCCTCACGTCCATGAGAAGTGCCACACTGGGAAGCATTTACAGTAGGAAAAAATGCACAAAACCTCTGTGATGAACCATCTTTCCCTGTAGGAATGGAGGTCACACTTCTATTCCCAAACAGAAAGGCTCTCCCAAGTTGGTTTTAGGGTTATCATCTGACACCGAGAGTGGCCATCCTGTCCCCATTTCTGCAGCTAGCACCTCACTACAGACCTGTATCCCCTGGGAAAGATCACCTCCCTGTGTGCTAATTCACTCCACATGTTCAGGCATCTCAGCTACACGGACGGTCGAAAACCCCAAGCATTTCCGTTGGTAAGGAACTCCTGCAATTCAACAGCTCTTTTCCACTTTACTTGGGCTTAACAACGGAGCGGCCAGGGATGAAGCAGAGACAAGGCAACCGACGTCCATGAACATGTGCCCGGCTCTGCTGGCCCAAGACACTCGACGCCTGCTGCAGTTCAATAAGAAGGTGGAATGGGAATATCTGATAATCTCCGCTCCCTGGAACTGGGGAAATCCTTAAGCGGATTAAGCACTGATGACAGTGGTTAGGCTGGGCTAACTCGAATGCTCTGACATCAGTGTGTTAGATGATGTGTTACCCATTCAGAAATCCTTTCCCCACTTCAGGCTGTTGAATGATAATGAAAATACCTCATGGCACCATGACAGCATCCCTGAAATCTGGCCAGAAGGGAAATGCAGTTTTGCAGTGACATGGTTTCCTCTTCCTAGAAAGCAAATCCTTACTTTTCTTTACAGCAGCTATGTGGGAAGAAGGGGACAGCAAGGTTATCCCAAAGCAAAGCAGGATGACCAGAGTAAGGCAGCTACACTGGGCTGAGAACATGAGCACTGCTTTGCAACAGCCTCGGCTGTGCCGTGAACACACAATATATCACAACAGCCAGCCCAGCCGTGCTCCTGTTAAACGCTAGACTGGGTCTTGCTGCATCAGCTGCCGTCTCCTCCATGGCATACTTCTGAACACGTGTCCTGCTCCTGCCTCGTGGACCTCTGCTTCTGCTTCTCGCAGTATGTCATCAACAGCACAGGGCAAGCTTAGCTTTTGGAGTTTAAAAATAATAAACGCCTTCCGCTTTCTATCCAGTTAAATGGTTTGTGACCATCTGCCGAGTGCTCAGTGTCACACTCGTTTATATCTGGTCTTCCCACTGTGCAGACCTGGGGCAAGGTTAGGAACAGAACCAATTTTGGAACAAAACGGTTAAAGTTGCATCCCACACAGCATCCACTGGTGAGAGATTAATGTGGATTTTTGTACTTTGCCTGATTGTGACTCCTTAATCCGGCATATATTCCAAAGAAATAATGCCATTAGAGGATTAGTGCTACAAGTTCATTTGAAAAAAAGGATTTGCAAACACTGAAATCCTATATTCTATGTACTTAATCACTGAGTATCATTTTGGGGATTTCCTCTCCCTTTAATAGTGTCTCTTTCAATGAAACCCAAGCAAGTAGCAACCCTGTTTTGGATGGCCTTTATTATCCATGAAAGAAAAACAAACCCCCAAGCATCTGGTTACAATAATACAGTATCTAAACACACTGGACTAAACCCATCCTTGCTGTCGTACAATCATTGCAGTTATACCAGGGAGGCACTTGGCCAAATACTTCTATAGAATTTAATGATTTTGGATATTTATCTGCTAGGTATTTGCGATATTCTGATTCCTGTAGCATGAAGTAACACAGTGACCCTTGTTTGCTTCTGAGGCAGTTCCCTTCCCCAACTTTGCTCACACCCAGTGAAGCCGCTGTTCTCCTCTCTGTGGGAGGAGACTGAGTCACTGCCGCGTTATTCTTTCTCCCTTTCCTTAGCACACTTGTCTGCTGCTCTGCATGACTCTCCCCTTTCTGCATGTCTGTCACCACCTGCAGCAGCCTCCATGGGCTTCTCTTGCTTGGCTCGGTTTGTTGCAGGCTGCCTAGGTGAAGTGGGCAGTTGCATGGGCTAAGAAATTGCTGGGGGTGGAAAAATGTTTATTGCCCCATTTCTGACTTTGCCAGTGCCAGGCGAGCTGCCCTTGGGCTGTGCCAACTCAGAATACATGTGCCAGGAGCTGCACTGAATGAGGGTACGGGAAGAGTGGCCTGCTCCAGCATCAGGTTCACTGCCCTCATCTTTCCCAGCCGTGTACACCAAACCATGCCCTTCACAGCTTTCTCCATCCTCTCTCTCCTGCTCTGGTCCTTCCCTTCGTCCTCTGAATTTGACCCAGTTCTGAGCCCTGATAACGGAGGCAGCAAACTTCAGTCTTGCCTACGCAGCTGAGGAGCCTTCAGCTGACACTGATGGTGTGTTGCTAGCGCCAAAATATCTGCGTCAACCACTAATTTGGTGTTGACTCCCTTTACATCCAGGAAACTCACAGAGCAGCAGGGATCAGCTTCAGGGCCAGACAAAAACCTTCAGCAGAGACGCACACCCACACGCTGGGCTGGAAGGACCGTTCCCAGAGGATGAAGGAATAGATGCAGCTGCACTCACTAGCGGGAAGTGCTCTGCAGAACCTGGGTTAGGAGACATAGCTTGGGCTTCCAGGTAGAGCTCGGCAGTGTGCTGCCATCTGGATAAACACTTTTTCCATGTATTCTTCTACTCTCAGAAATATTGAGCAGCACTGACACTGCTCTGGAGAAAAGTCTTTCCAGACTCTCACCATTTCCCACAAAATAAATATTCGACCTTCTGATTTTTTTACAGTAGTTCCTGAGGCAGCTGTTTAAAATATGTTTCACTGGGTTATGAAAATTAAATCCAAGCCCATTGTTCTGTATTTATGTACAACCACAGAGTGATCACAGGAGGGGTTTGAAGAGCCATTGAGAACATACAAAACCAGCTAAAACCTTGGGTTCACAAACACATATGCCTCTGAGCAACCTTAAACAATCCCCTAAACCCAGTGAGACTTTTCATGGGCGGAAAGGCTGAGTAAGATTTTGACATTTTACTGTGCTTTTACATTTTAAAACACAACAAAAAGTAAAGTTATGAAACTCTGGTGCTAGCCTACAAAGGTGGGCTCTGCCTGACCCGAAGAGGCTGCACGCTTTACAGGACAGCCTTGCAAGTGCATGTGCTGGATGAACTGGTCATGAGCACAGGTGTGTGTGACGGCCCCTGCTGCCACTGATTTATTATAGATGTAAGAATTTCAACCTTGCATATACCAGCATGAGCTGCTAAACACGAACTGCGGATTTCTAAAACACATTATTTTCTTCAAAGCCAGAGTTTACCTTACCTACTCTAAAACAATAGCAATGATAAGTAGATTTTTCCAACTACTGTCTCATATTGAATATGCATTTTGATTTCCATAAAAAGCATGACTAAAAGATCTGTCCCAGAAAATGTATATGTATATCCACAATGTAAATATTTTTAACACTCTGATATTGAGTTACTCTTTTTTAAATGGAACTACACAAATACAAACAACATTTCATTCTCTATTACAATATACTAGTCTGATGGAGAAGATTTTCAGGCTGGAAAATTCTTTTTGGTTGAACTTATGCCAGGATTAATCCCCTTTCAGTTAATCATTTACATGAATGGGTAATCTGCAGAGTTCATGCAAGGCCTGCAAACTATATTAATTGCTAGAAACCTAATTAGAAATCAACAGAGTCAAAGGATCAGTGTTACTTCCATACGGTACCATCTGGTACAATGGATCTGGATAGTTCAACAACTGCATTCTG